AGGACCAGGCATAACCAGGAAGAATTAGTGTTGAATAGGATGAATATTCAGCTTCCCAGTCTGAATAACAGCCAGTAAATTTTCCACTGGATCTTTATTCTTTGGACTTTTGGTAAGACAGTCAGCTAGTTGCTGAGGATCAGGAATCCATACAACCTTGTTTATCTCCTCATCGTCTATAATCTTTCTGAGATATGCAACTTGTACTCTCATCTTTAAGTCAACAGATGGATTAGTAGAGTAGATGTTCTCTTTTACAGATAAATTGTCTGTTAAACCAATGATAGGAACAGTGTCTTTTGTCTTATTTTGAGATAGACATAGAGCGGTGATGATAGTCTCTCGTATCAGATAAGCTTCATCCAAACATTCACCAAGAGCCATGGCTTCTGCATAACTGATGGTCTTGGTAACTTTTTTGATCTTTCTTGAGCACCATGATAAAATTCCTGCACTGTCTCCACTAACGAGAAATATAGCGTGCCCGCGTGCACTTGATGTCCTACCAGGGAGCATATTAAGCGAAGCATCAGCATAAGCATAGATCTTTAATTGAGAGATGTCTTTAGACAAGGATGGAAGCATTATGGTTACCGTTTGCTTCTTTAATTTCTTGACAATAGCATTTAGATTTATTAAATCAGAAACTCTAGGCTTTGCTGCTTTCATACTGCTTTCGAGGACTTTGTAGCGTAGGTCAGGGCGGCTTTGAGATGTTATCCACTGAAGCTTGCCTAGTAGTTGTTGAAACTCAGTCTTCTCAAGATCGCTCAGTTCATAATCAGGTTGGTTTCTCCTTCCTGAGCTTATACTTACAGGGCTAATTTTAGTTTCTTGGTAATCTATTTGATCAATAGTCACGGTATTATTAGATACAGCAGATTGTTTTATGTTCCAACCAACATAGGTGAAGTCACCGTACTCCTCTGTTCCAATCTGAAACTTCTCTTTCAATCTCCTTAAAACTTTTTCATGGAAGTCCTTATTTCCCGCCGCTAAGAAATCGTCCACATGCACATTTAGGAAACCCGAGAATTCTTCATTGGGTTGGTACACAAAAACTGACTTGTCAAGTGGCATCTGAACACAACCATAAAGAATAAGCTCTTCTTTCACCGTCATATACCATGCCCTGGCAGCATCATTCAGGCCATATACAGGCTTCTTGAGTCTCCAAACCATGTTGTTATCAGTTCTCTTCTCCTTTGGGGGTTTAACCAATATCAACCTATCCAAAGGCTTGGACTGCAAAAAGGCAGCACGTACGTCAATGCACAATAGTTTGTACTCAAACATGTTAGCTAGCATGATGAATGTTCTTGTGACACATTTACCAGCTGTAGGTGAGTCAGCTACCTGAGGATTGGACTCCTGGAATCCTCTTATCACAAGGCGAGCTTTGGTGCATAAACCCTCTGGTTTCTCCTTTTGATTTATAACCCAACGACATGATAACACTTCTTGATTTGGAAATTTTCTTTTATCAACTTCTTCGTAGACGTCGAACTTCTGCCATTGTTGCATTTCCTTTTCCATTGCAATTTCTTCTTCGTTGGATGATGGTCTAGCTATGTTTAACCAAATCTTTTCGTCTCCAATTGCATCAGCAAATAATCCTGCATCATCATTTTTAGCAGGCATCTCTTTGGTTCGTAACCATTCGACCAATTCTAGGTCAACAATGAAGCGTTCACCTGAATTGTTGACAACTTTCCATCGTTCACCTGCCAGTCCTTCTTTTTCAATTAGGCTGCATGACACCCATGTGTTGAATTCAATGTTCTTAATGTAGATGACATCTCCTCTTGTCATTTGAGTCGATGAGCGTGATCTAAGTCTGGAAGATATTCCATTGTCCTTTTCCTCATCTATGGAATCCTCAGCATCAAAGAATTCATCTGTGTTGACTGGTTCCTCGACTGTTGCTTCTATCTCCATAGACTCAGGCTGTATTTCTGGTGTCTCATTTTGCACATTTTCTTTCTCTGCGTCAACTTCGATGTTGTTATGCTCTGTGCTTGCAGCAGTGTCTTCTGTTACCTGTTCTAATGGAGGAATGACTGGTCTAGGTTCATCATCATCAGAATCACTGTCGGTGTTATCAGGGATTGTCTGTTTCTCAGGACTCTTATTAGTCTGTTCAATTTCTTCTGCTTGTGTCTGATCTGGTGAGTTCATCTGTTTTTCAGCAGTTTGCTTTAAGATTAGCTTACAAGGATGGACTTTTATTAAGGTTCTGGCTCCTGTTTTGACCAATACCTGCGCTCCATCTTGTCCAAGTACTTTTCCTGGTCCTTGCCATTGTTTTAAGTCTCTCTTCTTGTAATATACAATATCCCCACTGAAGAACCTTTGGTGTGTTCCAGCATAAACTCGTCCTCTCATAGCACGAGCCACTCTTTCTGCATTCTCTGCTTTGATGTAAGCTTCTCTAGACATTCTCAAGCTGTTTAGGTGATTTGCAACAGTTTGACTGGATGTGTACGATGACATTGCTGGTAATTTATTGGTACTATTTCCTGGAATGTTTGGATTCTTCCCAAAGACTAACTGGTACGGTGAGAAACCTAGTACGCTAATAAGAGAATTTTTAGCGTGTATAGCCCACATAAGAGCAATTTCAATCTTGCATTTAACATCCTCCATTACCTTTTGAGTCATGTGACCAATCAAGTCATTGTGACGTTCGCAAATACCGTTCTGGAATGGTGCTTCTGAAGCAGTGTCTTTGTGTAGTATGTTGAAAGCTGCAAACATTGACTGCCATTTGTCATTGACAAATTCTCCGCCGTTGTCTGTAAGAATCTTTTCCGGTGGCCCGAATACTGAAATCCAGCATTCAAAAAGTTTCTCCATCACCTCATCTGAGTCTTTGCTCATCAGGACGTGTGCAGATGAGAAACGGGTTACATAGTCACAGCAATGAAGGATCCACGTTCCATTTATCTTCTTGAGATCCATGGTTACTAATTCATTGAATTGGTATGCAAGAGGTAAGGCAACTGTGGGTCTTGGATGAGCACGTTTATGTTTAAGGCAGTAGTCACAAGAGGTATCTAAAACTATCAGCTCTCTCTCAACTTCTTTATTGGACATATCTGCATTCTTCAGAAGTTTAATTACTCTCCCTGAACCTGCATGTGCAAAGCGCTTATGAAGTTTAAGGGCTTTCTTCTTAGCTTCAAGTACGCCTGTATGATCTTCATTGGCAATCATAATCTCACAAGTGACATTGTTGACATAGGATGGGTCTCTCTCTTTTGCTAGTGGTAAGGCATAATGTCCTGTACTTGTTGTTGTTAAGGAGAATGAATTACCATCAATCTTAGCTTCATCGGTCTCAAAATCAATATTCATTCCTAAAGCTTTCATAGTCTGTAGTGATATGAGGAGGGGAATATCCGTGGCTACCACATCTACCTCTAATCTGATGTCACGTTTGCATATTGTCACTGGGATAAGAACTCTCTTTGATGCTCTCATAGTGCCGACCCCAAACCTGAACATGGTGTCGGAAGGGTATTCAGTCACTTGTTCTCTAACCTTTTCAGGGAGTGAGTCTAGGTAAATAGTGTACCATTCTGTGCCACATACGGTACGACTGGCTCCGCAATCAAGAACTGCTTGATTGATTGTTTCGTCAACTAAAAGTATAGTCTCAATCTCGCTTCCAATATTAGATTGGAAGAATATAGGTATCCCACTTACATCAGATGAGCTCTGTTGGCTCTCATAAAACTGATCATCATAGCTAGCTTCTTCAGAACATAAATAATTATTATAGCCTCTGCTATTGTTGTTGGATCTGCTATTGTTGGATCTGCTATTATTGTTGGATCTGTTGTTGGATCCAGTCATTCTTTGCCGCAATTCACGTACATGAGGGCAGTCTCTAATCATATGGTTCAGGTCACCACATCCATAACACTCACGGCTGTAGGTCGTGTTTCTTTGATCTCTGTTAAATGGGGGTCTTTGATTTCTTCTGTCTCTGTTGTACAGTACCTCCTCTTCTTCTTGATGACTCCCATAGAAGTTTATCTCTTGCTCCTCTTTAACAACGGGTCTAATCTGAATCTTGGAAGAGTCAGACGTGATTAAGGGGGTGTTAACATGTGAATCAGTTAATCGCAACAGTGCTTTTTTGGAGTCACTCATAGTTTTATTAGTACATGTTGCATTAGCGATGCGCTTGTCACTTTCACTGAGCTGCGCTCCTTCAATAATTAGATATGAAAGAATTAAATCTGGAATTTCAAGTCCACCAGTTTTCAGTTTAGCAACCTTGCTTTCGTAAAAGTGAATATACTCTTTCATAGTTTGATCTTTACTGCGTCTAAATCGGTAAAATTGATCAAATTGGTCCATAAGATCATTGTCGCTTTCATAAATACAGTCCAATTTTTTAATGATTACAGCTACGCTAGTGTCTGCTTCATCAATTAGTAAATCTGACGCCTTGTCAGCCATGTTCATGATAAGTAAGACACCCTGTTTCTTAGTGTCATCCTCTTCACAAACTGTCGCCCACATGGTGACTAGCTTCTTCCATTTGCTGTACTCACTGGCCTTCCCACTGAAGGATGGAACTTTGTTCTTCATCGTTGAGTGTAGTCTGCTGTCTTCCTGCTACCAATGTTTGTAGGTAATAAGCAATGAAACCCAGTAATCGTATAACCAAGCTGAAATGATCTATATCAATGTATAGTAAATAATACCTTTAGTCAATCTGAATAACTCACAATACTTCTATAAAGAGTAAAAGGGATAAACCCATAAACACTTGACGGAGAGAAAGTAACTCACCAAGAAAGCTCCGTCAAGGATCGTAAGCTCTAGTAGGTCTCTAGAGTCTGTCATATAAAACAACCATGCTTAAGGAAAACATGGGGTTACATAAAGATATATCCTAATATAGGAAATCTAGAGAAAAGGATATATGACATAATCTACTTCATATCAACATGTCCAAATGCTGCTACATACATTTTAAACCTGCCTCTGAATATGATGACACCTGTGCACGGACCAGACCATTTGCTATCCTGCTAGATGAATCTAGATCAATATTCATCAATGGTAAGGTTATTACTAAAGTCAAGGATACCAAATTCTTAGGTGTTGTTATAGATAGTAAGCTAAACTGGATTGCCCACATGCACTACATCCGTAAAAAACTGCGATCTATGACTGGTGCAATCTGCAGAATTCGGCACTCGATACCTTCTGAACTATATTTGAAAATATATAACGCTCTTTTTGAATCACATCTCAGTTATGGTATAAGTGTTTGGGGTGTTGTCCTCAAAGAACGGTCCAATGATAGTCTTTTCATCACACAGAAGCACTGTATAAGGATCCTTTTTGGCGACCTTGACTCATATTTAGATAAACAATCAACATGTGCACGTACTAGACCATACGGTATGCAAAAACTAGACCATAAACACTTTGAAAAGGAGCATACAAAACCCATTTTTAATAGATTAAAAATTCTTACGGCTCAAAACTTGTACAAATATCACTGCATCTTAGAATTCTCTAAGATTATCAAGTACCACTGCCCATACTCCCTTTATGAGGCTATCAACATTTCAAACCGTGCAACGAGTCTCACGGTTATTCTCCTAAATAAATCGAATACCTTTTTGTTTAATGCAGCCAAGCTTTGGAACGCTGTTCATAAAAAAATTTTAACTCCAAGCAATTGCCTAGAAACGTCCATTAGCTTGATAAAACTGAGAACCAAAGCACTATTAATACAAGCACAGGCAGCTGACTTAAAAGATACTTGGACTCCAAACAATTTTAAATTGCAGTAATAAAATCTAATTGCAGCGGCACACACTTACTATTACTATCATGATTGTACTATAGACAGAAAATCTTTCAAATCGATTTTGGGCGCTTTTTAACCATTTGTTGTAATGTTTTTAGATACTAAATATCTAAATTTATAAAAAAAAAATTTTTATCGGAATGAATTAATTGATATTTAATAATTTATTCGGTAGGTTTATCTGGTATTGATATTGATTATATTGATATTGTTATTATTGAACGAAGCTAACTCTAGACATAGTTAATACTACTTCTTTTAAGAAAGGGACTTGGAGTATAAACGACCAAGTTTGCATAAATTTCTATCCACCCAAGAACTCAGGAGGCAAAGGTGGGTGCGTAAACTTTTGGTCTGCACTCTCCGATCCTTTATCACCCTGGATTCTTCTCGACGTATCTTTGTAAAAGGTATATACCTTCTAGTCAATCTCTTGCTACTCCAAGTCCCCTAAGATATCTGATCTAAAGTTCGTGCTAGTTATATATATATGAAATATATTTTTGTCTGCTTTAATTGATACTAAATAAAATTGTTGTTTTCTTGAAAAATTGTTGTTTTCTTGGTTACATGTCTGATGTCACAAGCTTATATTATATTAACCAACAATACTAATGAGTCGTTATTTGTCATGTTAACACATGAGCTACCATTTACAATTGCACACTGTTACTTTGCCTTTCTTTGTTCTCAAACCATATATCTCAATATATGGTTTGACAGTAAAACAATTGTGTGACCAATGCAACGAATGAAATATATAAATATGTGTTGATGCATTCCACAGCCCTTCAGATAATTTCATCTCTATGTATGTCGATAATAGTGTTAAGCATTTCAAAATATATAAAATATGAAATATAGTTGTGTGATGGTCAAATTATTCAATGCAGTAAAACCCCGCTATACCGCGCCCAATTTACTGCAAGCCTAATATACCGCGGCCATTTCCTTTCCCCCAAATAGAGCTTAACGTACATAAAGTGAACAATCAAAACCCCGATTTATCGCAAACCCGATTTACAGCGGTTTTTCCCTTTCTCCCAAACTCTGCAGTAAATCAGGGTATTTCAAAATTAATATGATCAAGTTTTGTGAATAATACTTTGAACATGAGGTGACTCTCAATTCGATTGACCATTTGACTTGCCCTCGAAAAATGATAAGCAATAATACAGTAGGTCAATGGTTGTAGCCGATGTGGTTCTAGATGAAAGCTGCAACTCTTGTGGAGTTCATCATAACCTGTCCAGAGTATCCACTATCTTACCTGTCGTCTCGGTTGATGATGCTTTAGAATTCTTGGTACAACTTTGTAGCGAACTAACAGATCAGGAAAAGCACAACGTGTGTAAGTTATGAAGTTTCATTCAATATCTAACTAATAATAATGATGTTATGTTTTTCTAAATATTTCAACAATTTCAATAAAATTGAGGAAAAAATGAGCGACTGAATATTAATCACCAAATTATTCAAAAATATCATTGTGTGATTTAATTCGTTGTGTAAATTTGATTAAAATTCTATCTAATAAGCAAAAAACTATATAAATCCTTTATTATGCTGTCTTTTATAAATCCTGATCTGTATTTAGGGAGTATACTGCAGACAGCAGAAAGCAAATACTTCAGACAGTACGTGCCAAAAGAAAGGGACTCCTTGGCAGGGCACAAGTTACAAATTGTGCTACAGTGGTTTAGATCTGATGAAACTGTATGTTATTTTAATCTTTCCATTCAAATTTGATATTTTTATCGAGCAGTCTGGAGAAAATGTATGATGGGAAAGAATTACCTCAGCTTTATTGACGTTTCTAAATATGGGTTCTCTCTAGGCAGTAACAATAAAACTTAACTATTTTCACGATAAGTAGCAAATAGAACTTCAGCAAACCACGCTATTATCATATAACGTACATAGTAATTTAACTTCACAATTCTCATAAATGGTACTAATAAAACTCACCTTTATATTCCAGTAATTACTTTATTTAAACAAAATTAGGCATACAAAACTTCTCAATATCGTCACATTATTAGTGGCTGCCTGTGCAAATCCAGGAATTTAAACAATATATTATTTTCAGAAAGAGCCCCAGAGGTTGACCTTTATTCTAAAAGCTCTGTCTTATGTTGAGCAGAAAGTTCTGTACCTACTCAGAGATTTCCTTACACCATACAGTAAGTTATAAAATAATCAAATGCATAGATTAAAAATGATAGATTAAAAATGATAATTTTAAAGTATGAGACGGATGTTTACCTTGTTGAGTTTGTCAGAGCATCTTGTGGAACTACAGTGTAGTATACTATAGTGTATATCACTATAGTACTATGTTTACAGTACACTATAATGTAGATCCACTATCATGTGCCAAGCCCACTGATCAAAGTGAGGATCCTAGTTGAGCGGTAATATTATAAAAAGAGCTGTTCTTTATTGGAGCATCTCCTATTTCCATGCTTTGCATCTTGTTCAAATAAACCGTTAAAGTATTGATACTTGGTAATACAATACCCAATACCCTAACAATACCAACTAGTTGCCATGGAGACTCACCCTGTCCCCAACAACGCTAATTTATATTTGTGGGGTATTTGTGGAAATCTGGCAATCAATTGAACAGCTTCATAAAATAAACTGCTCTTCAGGGGGGGGGGGGCACTGCTCTTCCGGGGGGGGGGGGGGGGGGGGGGGGGGGGGGGGGGGGGGGGGGGGGGGGGGGGGGGGGGGGGCACTGCTCTTCCATCAAATAGATAGTTGGTAAAATACCACGTGGGCTGATTTGTTAATTTCGAGAAAAAATTTTGGTTAAATTTCTGTACGTAACTTTTTAGTGAATTTTTAGTTATCTGTCGCTCTTAGTAAGAGCCATTATTTATGAGGGAGCATGCTCATTTATTCTGACATCATATTTATAATTAGAAATCCACTACACAATTTACTGCCTAAAATGTAATGACACTATCTTTACTGCTAATATTTATTGATGTAAGCTAATTTTAGATGCTAATCAATGTAAAGGGTTTAAGTTAAATACATAAATGGTGGGATAGAGGGGCACAATGTTCTGCGACCAAATTAACTTCCTTTTGGTCAGATCGTGTGATACATGTTAACGCATTTTGTGTTACCATGGCAACACACTTTGTAATATTACTGTGTAGCAGGCTGCAGGAACACAGGGATTTATAACACACGCGTCTTTAATACTGCATACTGTAACCATGGCATTTTTTGGGAGCTTCATTAAGTTTAATTGCCGCATAGCAAAATATGTAAGAATCAAGCTAATGATAAAACAACACTATCATCACCCAAACAAGGCACATGGGCACGGCATGTAAGTGAGCGTTTATTTCAGTATAATTGAAACTTGAGGCGATGAAGACGTGGGCAATGTAAGCTTAATATTTGTAATCAGTTTGTACTCAGTAAATACTCAACAAGTCTTCAATAATATCTAATCACAGGTGATCTGAAGAGTGAAGACGACTTTAAACCAGATGCTACTCATTGTCCCTGGTAAGTTTACAACGCGGTGAGGGTGGGAGGGGAAGGTTTCAAAGGAAGGAGCAATAAGGTTTTAAGGGAGGTTCATGTTTAAACAGTGCAATGTTTACAGGTCGGGACAATGGCCGTGTTTCTCGGAGAGAAGTGGGTGTGTGGACTTCATCTCCCGGCTACCAGTTACCGTCTCTAAACTCATTCTCTGTTTTGTGGGGGTCAACAACATTTGGGGTGCTAGGCTCGTTTCTAAACGCTGGTTAGTTATAACAAAATGTAGATTAGAAAATGTAGATAAGAAAATGTAGATAAGAAAATGTAGATAAGAAAATGTAGATAATGTAGATATCAGATAAGTTATCAGATACGAAAATTTAGATAATAAGTTTTCTAGCCGTTCTATTCTAAAATTAGTTGCTCGGACGAGACAACAGTAACTGACTGACCAGTGACCCCCCCTCCCCCCCCCCCCCCCCCCCCCCCCCCCCCCCCCCCCCCGACTGACTAACCCCACAACTCTGCAGGTACATGATAATAAAGGAAGTGTTGAGGGAGCACAAACAGTTTCAAGCGCATGTGTTCCGTTGCAGAGCGCTGCGCCCCGCCATGCGCAACGTCAACCCCACATTTGCTAACAAAGTGGCACTGTGTTTCACATCCGGGGTGTGCACCACTGGTCACCCTTATGTCAGGTCTCTTCTTTTCCCTTTTTTACATAATTACTCTGCAATAAGTAAGGTTTAATTAGTTAGTTTTCACTTTTAATAAGTTAGATTATTGATATTTGCTCTGTCATTTTGATATGATAAATATGTAGTTTAACAGATAAACTAGCAGTGAGGAAGAGCCGGGATCTACTAAGGTTATTCTAGAAGAAAGGAATGTGTACTGCGCGGCTTACCACGTGCATAATCTCTATAGATTCAAAGGTAATAACGATTACCATGAGACTTGAATTTTACCAATAATTGATGTGATCGTTTCATTATATTAGTACCACAGAGACGTTTTTAAAATAAGATAGTGGGTTGAATTATTAATTAATTATTAAATATTTAATTAATTATTAAATATTTAATTATATTAAAATTATATTAAAACTGATTTAGGATATTCCAGATCCGCACAGACAGTTGCATTATTGTCGAGGCAAATATTTTGCTATTGGTTCAAATGATAGACGAATACACATAAGGTCCATGGAAACGGGTGAGCAGTAAATACCCAGTTCGTTTTCGTTAATATCGTTAATTAAATGATTAGCTAATTATTATAATTATTGCAGTATTACCTCCTTATCTCCGATAACCTTATCTCAGGTAAGCTACACAAGACAATAATGGGGCATGCTGGTAGTATACAGTCATTGTTGCTCATAGAGAAACTCAGAATAGTAATTTCAGGTAAGTAGTATAGAGTACATCTATATATAGAGTATATATATATAGAGTACAGCTACATATAGATATAACCATCAACCAAAGTCATTGTGTTTTGTGAATTATAATAACTATTAAGCGTACCAGACATTGCCATTGAATAGTCAAACATTATGGTTACTGTGGTTACTATGGTTACTAAACACTATGGTACGGATATTGTTACAATACTTGTCACCAGGAAGTTACGATCTGACGATCAGGGCGTGGTCGATAGAAACAGGGGCCTACCTGCGGTTGTGGAGAGGACACCGGGGAACTATATCCTGTCTAGATCACAACGACACGTCAGTTACACTAATTATCAGTTTATTTAATAGTACAATCTGCGTGATTACGTTTAATTACCTAATCATGTAATCAACTAATCGACTAATTAATATCGCTCTCAGTCTGCTGATATCTGGGGCTCGAGATAGTATGGTAAAGGTGTGGTATCTAATTAATATCGTTCTCAGTCTGCTGATATCTGGGGCTCGAGATAGTATGGTAAAGGTGTGGTATCTAATTAATATCGTTCTCAGTCTGCTGATATCTGGGGCTCGTGATAGTATGGTAAAGGTCTGGTATCTGAAGAAGGCGATGATAAAGCGCACTTTTCACCATCCCCGTCCCATTATATCAGTAAGGTTGCTCGGAGACAGAGCTGCTGTTGGTACAGAGTCACATCACTTATACTTGTGGGACATTAACCAGGGAACCAAATTAAAGGTATGTGGGACATTAACCAGGGGACCAAATTAAAGGTATGTGGGACATTAACCAGGGGACCAAATTAAAGGTATGTGGGACATTAACCAGGGGACCAAATTAAAGGTATGTGGGACATTAACCAGGGGACCAAATTAAAGGTATGTGGGACATTAACCAGGGGACCAAATTAAAGGTATGTGGGACATTAACCAGGGGACCAAATTAAAGGTATGTGGGACATTAACCAGGGGACCAAATTAAAGGTATGTGGGACATTAACCAGGGGACCAAATTAAAGGTATGTGGGACATTAACCAGGGGACTAAATTAAAGGTATGTGGGACATTAACCAGGGGACCAAATTAAAGGTATGTGGGACATTAACTAGGGGACCAAATTAAAGGTATGTGGGACATTAACCAGGGGACCAAATTAAAGGTATGTGGGACATTAACCAGGGGACCAAATTAAAGGTATGTGGGACATTAACCAGGGGACCAAATTAAAGGTATGTGGGACATTAACCAACGGACCAAATTAAAGGTGGGTAAATTGGGAAAAAGGGATCCTTTTATCTATGTATATTGAGGGTCGTTCCCTTCTAGCTTTCGTCACGAGTGAGCTTTCGATTTTTTAAATGCAGAGTTTCTTGGGAGCTGGAAACCGACTTAGTTTGCAATGACAAGCCTAAGCTGTGCTGAAGAATTACGTTTAGATGAGCGAATAAAGATGTACAAAGTAGAGGACTTTTGAAAGATCCTAATATCCCCCAGGTTTTCAGCACTGTTGGTGCTGTATACTGTGTGAATATAACTCCACATTTCATAATGGGAGGAGCACACAATGTCATGTACATTTGGAACATGATATCTTTGAAGGAGGCCCCAATGTTCACCCTTCCTCACCCAGGGTTTGTTATTTTTACTTTCTCTTTTCAGTTTTACTGCAGCTAAGGAAACAATTGGTTAAATTCATTATGTGTGGGATGTATAAGATACTGTCCGTTTATAAAGGGTCAGTCACCCGTCACATACTATACAACTTAGACTCCCCTCCCCCAACTTTACACACAGCTATTGTGTGTATTCCTAGCCTTCTATCCGTTACGATGGCTAACGACGATCTTATTAAATACCGATTCAAACCGATTGTCACATCAAAATATCTAAAACCATGTCAATCAGCGGTACCTTGACTGGAGGCGGCGTCCTCCGAACCTGAATTCTATGATTATCCCGTGATCTATTTTGTAAGCTGCGCGCGTCTTAAACCACGTTTTCTGCTTGCAGGCGTGTGTTATCAGTGCAGTATTGCTACGTGCGGTGTGTGACTGGGTGTGACGACGGAAAGATAAGAGTTTGGAGTTTGGTATCTGGGGACTGTATCAAGGTTATACGAGCCAATGCAAAGGGAGATCCCATCACAGCTCTGTTTGTAGATATTGATAGGTCAGTGACTGTTAACTAGAAGATCTCTTTTACCATTATTAGTTAGCAGACATTTCGCTCATTTACATTAATTTGTTACTCCATCGCATCGTAAAAAATTTAAAATATTGAAAAGGAGCGAAGACAGGTTGCTCTTTGTTCATATCATTGTTAAGGACCCATGTAAATTTCAAAAAATCAAGTTCCCACCTATTTCTCAACGGATTATCTCACAGGTTGGTGATTAACACAACAAGTACTGTTATATCCCTCAACTTCATATCTACTACCTGGGACTACTGCTCTCAGAGGTTCTCCGAGGTAAGTTATCGTATCTTGTAATTGCGTATTCTTGTGTAAATTTGTATTGATCCCGGGATCAATACAAATTTACACAAGAATACATTGCAACCATGCGACTCATATAAAACAATATGCCAATCCAGATTTTACATATCTTGTTACCATGGTTACTCCGTTACTTATATCGTTACCATGGTTATTGCTTATCTTGTAACCATGGCCATGGTTAGTTATCCTCTTATTAACATGCGAACGTCTTGTATTGTTACCATGACAGCTGTGTGATCAAATCTTCAGCAAGAGGTGGCCAATACTTTAATCAATAAATTAGCTATATAATATAAATGTTATAGTAATTATCTAGCTACGTGTCTACTGTACAGCACTAAACTCTGATAACTGTCTGTATGTTTACACATCCTCATAAAACTGCTGTCAGTTTTTTACCATTGCTTAGCAGTCTTGTAGATTCTTTTATTCGTAAAATGTCATCTATGAACACAAGATAACAGCTGCAGATTACGTTTCATATTTTCAAACCTGACCAATTGCCCAGGAGTAATATTAAAGGGGGCAATATGATCTAATGATCTATCACTAGATACAAATAATTTTTTTAGGAGAAGAGGCAGAGCCAAGAGGGGCCGGGAGACAACAAGAGGACGCTTAAAAGAAGATGTAAATCAGCTGTTCAGCTTAGAACACAGTCAGTAATACATATTAATACATATTAATAATAGTAATACACACTAATCATGTCATTAGACAGTAGACACACTTTTAATTTATTATTACAAGCTGCACTAATTTTATACCTTACTATATTATCAATTCAGCCCACCATACTTAGTCTATCACATCTCATAGTACTGTCTTGCATAATATCGGCTCTTAATATCACATTTTTGCTCAATTCAGCACATATTAATTGCACTCTAAACGTCTGTCGGCCAATAGAGAAGTGTTTCTAGATCACGTGTTTTAGTAGGGACCAATGAGAAACATACAATTTCAGCATCAAGAACATGACGACAAATCTTTCTGGTCAGGGAGCAGTGAGGTACAGGCAATATGTTTTTATTTTATTCACTTTTGTTCGAGTTTTCTATTAGGTCCAGCATTATTATTCTTATTTGACTCTCTCAAATTTCAGTAATAATGCAGTTTCTTCCCTTTCAAATTGATGCACAGCAAACTGGAAACTATAATTTACCCCACTTTCACCTTATGACAGAGAACTATCAGACTTCCAGAAGACTGGCGTAATGACAGGAACAGCTCCCGAACAATACAGAACAACAGCTGTGGATACTAAAAGTGAGGTAGTGGAACAATACAGAACAACAACTGTGAATCCTAAAAGTGAGGAACCCACCGCCCCACGTGCACCGCCTCCGTCTCCCAGAGAACCTGAAAACATCAAGGTTAACTCTTCCTCCTACTTACTGCTTACACGGACACCGATCTGCTCCTTTTATTTTATTTTCCCAAGGCTCACCCCGTGGCTATTCGCCCCCTCACTTCGTTCGCCAGAGTGATGCAACGGCTTCCCGCCGTACTCACCAATTTGCAAAATTTAAAATAGGATTCACGACTCTGCTTTAATACACTTTAGTAGAAACTACCACCTAAATGCCTCCACTTTCAGACTACAGTTGTAGAAACGGCAACGAAGCAGATGTTGTTTGATGATGTATTCCAGAGGGGTCCCATCTCATACTGTGGTCTCATTAGTCAGCCTAACACAGAGATACTCCACAACACATCCTCAGGTAAAGCACTGGCAGAGCATTACCAGTAAACACTGGTAATGCACTGGCAGAGCATCACCAGCAGAGCATTACCAGTAAACACTGGTAAAGCACTGGCAGAGCATTACCAGCAGAGCATCACCAGTAAACACTGGTAAAGCACTGGCAGAGCATCACCAGCAGAGCATCACTAGTAAACACTGGTAAAGCACTGGCAGAGCATCACCAGTAGAGCATCACCAGTAAACACTGGTAAAGCACTGGCAGAGCATGACCAGCAGAGCATCACTAGTAAACACTGGTAAAGCACTGGCAGAGCATTACCAGCAGAGCATCACCAGTAAACACTGGTAAAGCACTGGCAGAGCATTACCAGCAGAGCATCACCAGTAAACACTGGTAAAGCACTGGCAGAGCATTACCAGCAGAGCATCACCAGTAAACACTGGTAATGCACTGGCAGAGCATTACCAGCAGAGCATCACCAGTAAACACTGGTAAAGCACTGGCAGAGCATTACCAGCAGAGCATCACCAGTAAACACTGGTAAAGCACTGGCAGAGCATTACCAGCAGAGCATCACCAGTAAACACTGGTAAAGCACTGGCAGAGCATTACCAGCAGAGCATCACCAGTAAACACTGGTAAAGCACTGGCAGAGCATTACCAGCAGAGCATCACCAGTAAACACTGGTAAAGCACTGGCAGAGCATTACCAGCAGAGCATCACTAGTAAACACTGGTAAAGCACTGGCAGTGCATTACCAGCAGAGCATCACCAGTAAACACTGGTAAAGCACTGGCAGAGCATTACCAGCAGAGCATCACCAGTAAACACTGGTAAAGCACTGGCAGAGCATTACCAGCAGAGCATCACCAGTAAACACTGGTAAAGCACTGGCAGAGCATTACCAGCAGAGCAGCACCAGTAAACACTGGTAAAGCACTGGCAGAGCATTACCAGCAGAGCATCACCAGTAAACACTGGTAAAGCACTGGCAGAGCATTACCAGCAGAGCATCACTAGTAAACACTGGTAAAGCACTGGCAGAGCATTACCAGCAGAGCATCACCAGTAAACACTGGTAATGCACTGGCAGAGCATCACCAGCAGAGCATCACCAGTAAACACTGGTAAAGCACTGGCAGAGCATCACCAGTAAACACTGGTAAAGCACTGGCAAAGCATTACCAGCAGAGCATCACCAGTAAACACCGGTAAAGCACTGGCAGAGCATTACCAGCAGAGCATCACCAGTAAACACTGGTAAAGCACTGGCAGAGCATTACCAGCAGAGCATCACCAGTAAACACTGGTAATGCACTGGCAGAGCATCACCAGCACAGCATCACCAGTAAACACTGGTAAAGCACTGGCAGAGCATCACCAGTAAACACTGGTAAAGCACTGGCAGAGCATTACCAGCAGAGCATCACCAGTAAACACCGGTAAAGCACTGGCAGAGCATTACCAGCACAGCATCACCAGTAAACACTGGTAAAGCACTGGCAGAGCATTACCAGCACAGCATCACCAGTAAACACTGGTAAAGCACTGGCAGAGCATTACCAGCAGAGCATCACCAGTAAACACTGGTAATGCACTGGCAGAGCATCACCAGCAGAGCATCACCAGTAAACACTGGTAAAGCACTGGCAGAGCATCACCAGTAAACACTGGTAAAGCACTGGCAGAGCATTACCAGCAGAGCATCACCAGTAAACACCGGTAAAGCACTGGCAGAGCATTACCAGCACAGCATCACCAGTAAACACTGGTAAAGCACTGGCAGAGCATTACCAGCAGAGCATCACCAGTAAACACTGGTAATGCACTGGTAGTTACTCACCTTAGTTTAAGTTCAGTAAAATCTTACCTAACTTGCTAGTCTCTTGCTCGTTTCTCTCTACATTGTTATTGTAGATCAAGAAGCTCGAAAAGAGCGCCGGGCATAGGGATAGGCGCGCTTGGTTGAGTACAATCATCTCCTACCGTTACAAATATGTGTTGTTATATTCCAGGGTAGTAACCACATTAAACACAGGTGGGAGAGAAGGCTGGAACACCACACAGTGCAAGACTACTCCTAGAACTGCTACCATGGTAACAGGTCCTACTAGAGGACAGTACAATTCTGAGCAGCTCAAGAAGATGAAGTCCAAGAGACCAAGTTCAGCTCCGTTTGTCAGTGCTAGTCTCAGTGTCCACGGACACCTGCCTTCCTTCGCTACACGGCGTCCTAACACTGCCTCCCTCATTCAACACAGAGTCAATGTGAGTGTAGAGTTAATGGCAAAATGTATCGTCTTCACTAAATCACTGACCAAGGATTTTAAATATTGTTACAGAAGAGCCCTCAGGGTACGCATCATTTGATGTATTTCGAATCACTCCCTATGATCTGGTTTCATATTATCATTAATTTACTGACTCATTGGTCCCTGGGCAAAAAGTCCATCCAGCCTGTCAAATTTGTGTTCAGAAATTTTCATATTTGAAAATGGGACAGAAATTGGAAAAGCTTTCTGCGAGCTTCCTCCGACAGAAATAAAACTTCCAGCACCTCAATTGTGTTTGTCATACGTTGTATGACCCGCCGCGCACGAAGTGCGCGGCTCCCCCTGTAGCGTCGAAGACGCTACTATAGTGAAGACGCTACTATAGTGAAGCGACCGTGGGGGTCACCACGTGATACAAAATTGTGTCATATGCGGATGCCATCTATAGTTGACCGACTAATTGGTTGCGGATGAGAAATTCAGTCAAAATTGTAAAATTTCCGTCCTGGAAATTTCATCTTCAAAAACTGAGAATGGGACAATATTATTTTTCAATTTTTTCAAATAATCACCCTAGTAAAAATAGTAAAACTTCAGGTAATGCCCGCAGAGCGGTGGCAGAGCACGTGGCAGAGGTTGCTATCGGACATTCCCGAGAAAACCCCTGAGGGGGTGATTAGGGTACAGCAAAACATACCTCAACCAAACATTCCTCAACCAAACTCATCCCACTCTAACAACTACAAGGGGCCGGTGCGGAGACCGAAAACAGCAACTGCTAGAATCCGCTATTGAGGGAGACAGTGGAGCAGACTTGTTTACACTTCATCAAATTCAATCCTCTGACCTCTACCCAGATCTGAAGATAGAGCTGCAGTCATGAGGGTGAGTGTAATCGATATGCAAGAGAGCAAATAAGATAAGGAGAAAAGCTTTTGTGATCATCTTAGTGGACCATCTCGACCACTACACCGTACACTGACAACACTGAAGCTTCAAGTTCAAATTGGCGGACACTATCCCCATAAAATTAAAAAAATGGAACCCGTATACAAATTTCCATAAAAATGTTGGATTGTGAACAAACAACAGTGAATCGTTTGCAGCCACTTTTGAGGCACCATTGTAAAAGCTTTCTACAATACTTATGTGCAAATTTCATGAATTTAAGACAGAGGTATACAACTTTTTGACTTTAATACTGATTCAGTATTTGATGGTCTATTTTGTATTTGATTATTACAGATTATATTCTTTATTTTTACTTTATAAGATGGATAAATATATATTCTTTTAATTTTAACAACGCTTTTTAATTAGTTGTAATAAATACTAGACACTTCAGCATGCAGTCAGTCCACCAATATTATATCCAAACCAAACTCCTTATTCATATTGATCCTTTTGCCCTTGGTGAAACGATACCATTAAAAAATTAAACGAGATTTTACAAATATCTGAATGATAAGAAGAAATAAATACAGAATGAGAAATAATAGATAGTCAAACTATAGCGGAATTACAAAGACTCCGACATACAGATAACATAATACTAGCATAAGTGAGTCAAGCTGAACATTTGGATTTAAATCAATACTAATAGGAGATACTCTTTGTAATATCAATACTAGTGTTATCAAATCTAATTTCTGGAATAATCTAAAAAATAACTCTTTCAATTTAGTCTTTACTAAAACTGTTGAGTCTGCAATGTTACCATGAAAATCACAAATCAACATTATTCTGTTAACACTGTGACACTCTGTCAGGATGTACAATTTATTATCTTCATCTGTATTGGTTATACATATTTGGGTTCGGCATATTAGCGTTCGGTATGTTAGCGTTCGGCATGTTTCCGAGTTGCATCTGAGGATAAAGGTATCAAAATTCCAGCCAATTGTATACTTCTAATTATGCTTCGCCTGTTTTATAATCTTCTTAACAATCCAAATTCCAATTCACCTTGAAGAAAATAAGGAACACCTGGTTATAAGGAACTCTGTGAAAATAGGCCTACCTGATTATAAGGAACTCTTTGTAAAGAAGCCTACCTGATTATTAGGAACTCTGTGTAAATAAGCCTACCTGATTATAAGGAACTCTGTGAAAATAGGCCTACCTGATTATAAGGAACTCTGTGAAAATAGGCCTACCTGATTATAAAGAACTCTGTGAAAATAGGCCTACCTGATTATAAGGAACTCTGTGAAAATAGGCCTACCTGATTATAAGGAACTCTGTGTAAAGAAGCCTACCTGATTATAAGGAACTCTGTGTAAAGAAGCCTACCTGATTATAAGGAACTCTGTGAAAATAGGCCTACCTGATTATAAGGAACTCTGTGAAAATAGGCCTACCTGATTATAAGGAACTCTGTGTAAAGAAGCCTACCTGATTATAAGGGACTCTGTGTAAAGAAGCCTACCTGATTATAAGGGACTCTGTGTAAGGAAGCCTACCTGATTATAAGGAACTCTGTGTAAAGAAGCCTACCTGATTATAAGGAACTCTGTGAAAATAGGACTACCTGATTATAAGGAACTCTGTGTAAAGAAGCCTACCTGATTATAAGGAACTCTGTGAAAATAGGCCTACCTGATTATAAGGAACTCTGTGAAAATAGGCCTACCTGATTATAAGGAACTCTGTGTAAAGAAGCCTACCTGATTATAAGGAACTCTGTGTAAGGAAGCCTACCTGATTATAAGGGACTCTGTGTAAAGAAGCCTACCTGATTATAAGGAACTCTGTGAAAATAAGCCTACCTGATTATAAGGAACTCTGTGTAAAGAAGCCTACCTGATTATAAGGAACTCTGTGTAAAGAAGCCTACCTGATTATAAGGGACTCTGTGTGAAGAAGCCTACCTGATTATAAGGAACTCTGTGAAAATAGGACTACCTGATTTTAAGGAACTCTGTGTAAAGAAGCCTACCTGATTATAAGGAACTCTGTGTAAAGAAGCCTACCTGATTATAAGGAACTCTGTGTAAAGAAGCCTACCTGATTATAAGGGACTCTGTGTAAAGAAGCCTACCTGATTATAAGGGACTCTGTGTAAAGAAGCCTACCTGATTATAAGGAACTCTGTGTAAAGAAGCCTACCTGATTATAAGGGACTCTGTGTAAAGAAGCCTACCTGATTATAAGGAACTCTGTGAAAATAGGACTACCTGATTTTAAGGAACTCTGTGTAAAGAAGCCTACCTGATTATAAGGGACTCTGTGTAAAGAAGCCTACCTGATTATAAGGAACTCTGTGTAAAGAAGCCTACCTGATTATAAGGAACTCTGTGTAAAGAAGCCTACCTGATTATAAGGAACTCTGTGTAAAGAAGCCTACCTGATTATAAGGATCTCTGTGTAAAGAAGCCTACCTGATTATAAGGAACTCTGTGTAAATAGGCCTACCTGATTATAAGGAACTCTGTGTAAATAGGCCTACCTGATTATAAGGATCTCTGTGTAAATAGGCCTACCTGATTTTAAGGAACTCTTTGTAAAGAAGCCTACCTGATTATAAGGAACTCTGTGAAGAGATGCCTGGTGAGGCTGAGCTATGCCCGGATTTGGTCCCAACGTCGGTCGAACTTGTCTGAAAATAGTTAGGTGTAATATTAATATTTGATAAATAAACTCTGTCCAAACCGATTAGAAATGTTTGCTTTACTTTAATAAAAGTTTATGGTACGACTCACATACACCTACATCTATTTAACTTTTTAATGCTAAACTGGTTTGCTGAATGGTAAATTCCTGTGATACCTAGTTTCTAATTAATTAGATAATTAATTAGTTAATTGTTAACCTGGGTGCAGTTTGAGGATTCATGTTCGGAGGAAGGGATATCTGTAACACTTGAGCTGGTCGCTGCACTGGCAGAAATCCACCAGGGTCAACATAACCTGGGGTAAAACTCAGTAGTAACAGCAAATCTCTCTCAGTGTATATCGTTTCAAGCATGGCATTTACTTAATTCATGATAGTAGAATTTCTTTTGAAACTCTTCTTTCTTGTTTATCCAAATCCAAATTCTAATAACTACTAAAAATAACAAATACTTCTTGGGATCTGTTGCACGCTGGGATATTGGTAACCTCTGGGGTACTGTTGAGGCATCATCATCGCTGAGGGAATGTTTCTCATAAATCATCTATTTTTAATTCTGATAGACTTTTTAAAAATCTGGCCGATCCAATGCGCTTAAAGATAGTTTGTTAGAGGTTGGTGAGGTCAATTTGTGTTCAATCAGCGGAGGTGCAAATTGAATAACATCGATCACAAAAAGAGATACGTGCGCGCTGACCTCCATCTCCAAACACGCCGCGCGTTACGCATCTTACTCAGATCGAGTGTAACCGATTTGTGAAATGAGGTCATCTACGAATGAAAGAAAAAAGAATCTTCTCAAACCTGCATTTGGTCGGGGACTGTTCATCGAATTATCAATCCGTCCCTAAAGAAGGGGAACAGAAGTTTAGAACGAGTAGATCAATATGATGGTAAGTTCAGCTTGTTTGTAACTTGAGTACAAATAACAGGTACATCTCTCAGAATAACGTCATAATTTAGACATTACAGAAATTGAAGACTCACAGCAGCACTGACTGGTCTGAGTTGTTGTGGTTGTGCCATGTGCATTATCTGACCGCGTATAATGCCACCAGGCTGTGGCATTATAGGGGATTGTTGCTGTGTTCCTTGACCCATCTGCATCATGGGTACCGTCATACGCTGCAAAATAAACCCCTTCATTGAAAACACCGATTGATCATTGATGGCCCAAAAGCGATTATTCATGGAAAATAATAAAGCACAAAAAAAAGTCACAGAAGGTGGTCAGGACTGGTCGGATTAACATTAGAGGTTTGGACCGTCTTGAGTCCTTAACAACATAAAAACCCTGACTAGAACTGTCCTTCTTCGAGTTCACATATACATGACAGGATTTCTAGCATGTTATATTTTATAAACGTGTTATATTTTATAAACATGTTAAACTCTATAAACGTGTTATATTTTATAAACATGTTAAACTCTATTTAAACATGTTAAACTCTATAAACATGTTAAAGTCTATAAACATGTTATACTCTATAAACATGTTAAACTCTATAAACATGTTAAACTCTATAAACATGTTAAACTCTATAAACATGTTATATTTGATATAGTAACCTGTTGGGTAGGGCGTTGTGCAGGGTTTATAGGAGGTACTATGTAACCGGCGTTATAGGTTCCTCTAATCCCCTTACTCTGGGGTAAAACACTTTATCAAATACGATATATATATTTTACTCTCTTACTCTATAATATTATATCCACTATATCAGTCATTTGTTAAATTATTGACTTAACCCCAAAAAAACTGAAGTGTGCATAATTTTAGCCGTGCAAACATTTGAGCGTGCTAATTTCTACCGTAACCTAATAATAACTGGGTGAATCGAAGTAAAAACAGTAAATAAGTTAAAGTAGTTAAATAAAGTAGTTAAATAAAATAGTTAAATAAAATAGTAAATAAGTTAAAGTAATTATTAACCGGGTCGTGAGGAAGCCTGTTAACAGGAGGCACACTCTTGGGAGACTGTATAGAAGTAGCAGGTAGTATATTAGGAGGCTGGGAGGACGGACTACTCATACTGTGAACAACAGGTAGATTAGGAGAGATAGGAGTCATAACCCCGCTACCGCTAGGAGCGGGGGTTTGGGGGGCTGCTGGGCTGCCTCCTGGAGGAGGGGCGCCTTGCTTTGAGTTGGTCATAAAGGGGGCTGGTTTGAGGTGAGGCATAGTCTGGAGTTGGGGGCCCGCTGAACTGACCTGGTAAATAGGTTAGGTTACGTGCCGTGAACTTGCATTTATGTGTTTTAGTATGTATACTTAGGTTGTTCCTTGTATACACTATACATTATGTTAAAACCACATAGCATCAATGGTTGATAATGAAATGTACACTTATAAGCAATTAAGTATATTAAGTATACTGAGGGTCAAGCATAGAAATAAACTCTTACTCAGATTGTGAGATATATCATGATTTTAAGTACTAGTCGACGTTTGGTATTCATAAAGTACGGTTATTGTTTCAAGAGTATGATCATGCAATTAACCGGTTCCACCTATCATATTACAGTCAAGTATATATTTTTATCGGAAATAATTTGAAACAAAACAATTTCCGGAAAGGTCCCAGAAATCACCCCGGAGAGTTCCTAAAATTTCCTACTTCAGCAAAATCCACGATTACCACTTTTTTACCACTTTTTTCCACATTGATTCTCCGCAAACAAGTCCTCTTATGAATATCGTAGAAGGTTATAAATTGAACCAGTATGTTAAAAAAATAATGGAGAACTTGGCCCTTGGAAAACATTTTATATTATAAAAAAATCAATTAATTGATAAATTAAATAATCAAGATATTTTGGATTTTTAAAATGTTTGAAACAATTTGTGAAAATTTTGAATTATTAATTAATTAAAAAATCCTCACTCCATAACCACTCAATCACATAATACAATTCCAGTTCTGCTCTCCCACAAGCTACTCAACAAATAATTATCACAAGCTCAAGTTGGTAGGCGTGAGACTGATAATATTTCTGATAATTTCAATGGACTAAATCTACTCTCCCAGAAGTTCACAGGGCTTGTTAAAATATTGCCATTGAATTATACACTTTCTAACTTTGAGCAGTTCTTTCTAAATTAGGTAACACTTTCCAGTAACAACATGTGCTCGTCAAACTGTGAAACGATAACACCCGGCGCGGCCTGCAATTAAAGTTAGCAAACCCATTTGACGGTGCTTTGTTATAATCTACCGGGTTATACAAAGCAACCTAAAGTAACTTATAATATGATCTTATAATGAACCATTAACATGTCTACAGTATGAACGCTACAATTATGAATAATAATTGCCAAAAATATACTACAATCTTGCTCGAGTTTTATGAATACCAAATCTGAGACTCAGTAAAAACAACAAATACTTGGTTCTTATACATGACCCCTATAATAATATAAACAATTGTCAGGTAAATTAGTGACTTACTGAGCGGTTTAAGCGTTCTTTACAGAGATCAAGTATTTCCTTAGCATAGTTAGGTGGCTTAGCGTCAGTAGATATCTTCATTTTACTCAGCTTACCGTCCACCGAGCTGTCTTTTGAACTGAAAGGTGCTTTTTTAGATGGAATACTGGTTACCGGACAATAATACTGGTTACCGGACAATAATACTGGTTACCGGACAATAATACTGGTTACCGGACAATAATACTGGTTACCGGACAATAATACTGGTTACCGGACAATAATACTGGTTACCGGACAATAATACTGGTTACCGGACAATAATTCACCGTGCGAATATAATGATGGAATACTGGTTACCGGACAATAATTCACCGCGCGAATATAAAGATATAATTGAATTATCGGATATTATTCAAATAATGCAGAAGGCGCGAGTGGTAATAATATCGGATATCTATAAATATATTATATCTGATTTATATACGGTCTAATGAAATGACTGACCTGTGGAACTCAGGTGTATCCCTCTTCCCGTACTGCAGAACCAGGCTCATCTCAGCTACGATATCAGAGAGAACGTTAATGTGATCCGACTTGTTGCAGTGTGTTATTAGTCGTCTTACTGCCATGTTGTTGAGCTGATTCTGTGTTAGGTGGATGTCACTCTTTACTTCAAATACCTGGTAGTGGAGGTATTACATAATATTGCAGTTTTAATACCTGGTAGTGGAGGTATTACATAATATTGCAGTTTTATATTTTTATTTGTGTTTTAACAACTTAGTTTAAAAACTAAGTTTAGAGGTAGTTAAAAATAAACAAAACAATGTCTTAATCTCTTTCTAAAACAATAATAAATCAATTAAATCGTGTAAACTATTTTTGTAAGTTTAAATTTAGTTGATCGAACTATATTTACTAACCTGAGTGCATGTATCCAAGCATAGAGGAGGTGAGTTCAACATCAACAGATAGTTCTCCAATTTGGTGAGCTGATCATAAGGGAGAGTCTCGCCCAGTGTATCATACAACTCCAGTACTAAACTCTGGGCATTTTAATGGTTACTTTTCACTTTTCAGATCCATTAAGTAAAGTCTTGTAATGATCAGAAACACTATCTCAACAGGATTATTATTTTGTGCCATTTTATGTAAAGTTACAAAAGTTACAAAAGTAGTTAAAGTTACAAAAGTTACAAAAGTAACAAAAGTAACTAAAGTAACTAAAGTAACTAAAGTAACTAAAGTAACTAAAGTAACTAAAGTAACTAAAGTAACTAAAGTTACTAAAGTAACTAAAGTTACTAAAGTTACTAAAGTTACTAAAGTAACTAAAATTACTAAAGTAACTAAAGTAACTACAGTAACTAAAGTAACTAAAGTAACTAAAGTTACTAAAGTAACTAAAGTTACTAAAGTTACTAAAGTAACTAAACCTGGGTTGATCTACTGAGGACGTGCTGGGTAGTTATAGGAAAGTCTAGAGTGTACGGCTCGGTAGACCCAGGACGAGGGAAGCCTCTGTAGTCCGTGATAGTTACTATTAGTTTGTTGTTTGATAGCATCATGTCTCCTAGCAACGGTACTAATTCGTCTGGAATGTCTCCCTGTTCTACACATCTGCAGTGCACAATGAGGTTGTTAGATCGGTTGTGAAACTAGGAAAACAAGCTCGATTACAGTTGAGGTTGAAGTGGAGAGTCAAGAGAAGAGTTTGAAACAACAAACAGTGAATATGTATTGTTAGGAGATGAAATAGTAACTAAAATAAACCTGATAAAATCAGACTCGTCGTAAGATATTCGGTGAGTGGAGAGTTTGGAGTTAGCAGGGACTGTAACGGTGAACCCATCATGGTACAAACTCAGTACCATGCCTGACTCCCAATCATCTGGAACCTTCGTTATGTACACTATCTGCAGGGCATTTTAACGTTATCTAGTTATCTAGTTATCTAGTTTAACGTTATCTAATTCAGCAACATATTTTGAGCATCTTTTGAGATATGAACCATGATATCGTTAGTAAGTTAATAAATACACAAAACCCTCTCGAAAACCTTAAACAATTTCTATACCAGCAGGCAAGGACAAAAGGATTTCGCGGCATGTACGAAATCGCGAAATTCCCCATTCTCCGCAACAAATTGTATGTATAGTTTAATGTATAGCCTGTTAAATTTCGCGGTACCGCGATTTTTGGCCAAAATAATCGCGAAATCCTTTTGTCCCTGCCAGCAGGGTATATAATACCTTTTCTCTTTCTTCGCAGTCATTATTGTTCAAATATTTCTTAACATCGCCGTCCCTGAAAAGTGATTCATTAATAAAAATTTTTCGAAAAACAGAGCATTTTCAATAGAAGCATTACTTTTTTCAAGCGATTAATCAAATTTGATATACCTTTTTTTAAAACTTACGACAAAATCTTTTTAGTTTTCCTCCGTTTTGGGCAGCTTCTGTCCATTTTGTAAAACCTCGTTCATTCCTGAGTTAGCTATTATAACACTGTTATAGAGTCACAATAACAACACTAATTTAAGGAAAATATTCTTTACAGTTAATAAAATAATGTAACTATAGTTCTAGATCACAGAGCGAATCATTGATACATAGATAATGTAATTACAGATTACGATTTATAAACTAAAAGGGAAACAATCTGACAATTCCGCAATTGAAAATCAACAATAACTTTATCCCCACTCTGTACCCTCAAATCGTCAACTAACGTGAAACAGTCCACCTTATTGAAGTAATCAGAGTTACCAAATTCTAACAAAGAGTCACCAAAATAGTAACCCAGGGAGAATACAGCATTGGTAACCAGGCCGCGTTGTGTAATTGGTAGGGTAGAAGTGAAGTTATCATCACACTGCTGTAATGATGGTAGCTGTGTGGGTGTTGATAAAGTTGTGTAGTCATATTCCCACAGATGTATTGGATCAAACATGTCATCTCCACTGAGTTCACCCTGGCATTGTCTCACTAGTTCACTGTAACCAGACATGTTGAACCCGTCTATAGTATGAGGAGATAACACTCTGTTAGCCAGCTGACAAGACTCTACTAACGTTACAGATAACACTACTTTACGAGGTACCAGACTACAATGTGAGCTGAGAGAGTGTTCTAGTAGTTCCCTCCTGTAGTAATACGACACACACGTTAAACTGAAGGGGTGGTAACAACTATCCACTACTACGGTTCCTTCCTTTACTTTTAGTTCACTTGTTGAGAAGGGGTGGTAACAACTATCCACTACTACGGTTCCTTCTTTTACTTTTAGTTCACTTGTTACATCTGATAATCGAATAGTTTTAACTTTGCAGGAAAGGTTTTTACTAAGTAGTGCAGGAAGTGTGCTAGGTGGCCCAATATACACAACACTTTTATCATCAGTCTTCAGCAATTCACATACACTACCACAGTAGGCTGCATTTAGGCGGCAACAGTTCATGTAACCTAGGTAACGGTAGCTCAACATCTCTCCCGGATTGTCCTTTTTAGAGCAAACACAGTTGTTAAAGTTACCTGGTCCAGAGTGATCGATTTGAACGTCTAAATCAGTGATATTAACTTGTAGACTTATATCACCTTTATTATAACACATGCAGTAAACAAGGGGCATCCAATGGTCTCTGAACTCCTGAAACTCCAGGAGAGGTTTAGGAGCTGTTGATATAACGTTATCCTCACCAATATCACTCCTCCACCAGACCACTATACCGTTACAAAGTTCCTTATTTGTGATGCTGATATTCCTGGCACCTGTCCAACATTCCACAGATGCTAAGTTAAATTCCCACTGCCACAATTCCACTGGATCACCTGACTTGAGGTCTGATATCTTGTCAACATGGACCTCCCAGGGTACGTCAAAAGAAATATTAGTTCTCTGTTGAGAGTCCTTACTCGATGGTAACGAGCAGTAACTGTCAAGACTGGCTGAGAACACTGGCTGAGCAAACAATGTTGCTCTGGATGGGATGAAGATACAGTTTCCAGATGCTAGTTTAGAGAGAGCGTGTTTGTAAGTGAGCAAACAACCCTCTCCTATAAGCTCACTGTCATAAACCTCGCTAACAATGAGGTTAAAACTGTTTCTGTAACCGCTATTAAACTTATCTAAATCACATGACGACATAGTCTCAACAACAATTTTGCAGGTTTTCTTATACATGTTTTCATTGTCCTTTATAACACCTTTCGCTATGTTAGCCATGGTCTTATTGCTCTCACAGGCCACAATAAAATCAGCACCAGCTTCAGCAGCGTACAAAGCCAGTAAACCAGTTCCTGTCCCGATATCCAACATACACACAGTTTCACCCCTACTGTGGATCTTCTTTATAGCAGTTTGGATTGCTGATCTGTACGCCTGGTGACGGTGAGTATCATTAAGCATTCCTGCATGTCCATTAGTGAGGATCTCGTCAGGATCTACCATTCTAAACAGGGGTAAGGAGCTGTCATTGAGTACTCATCATGTTAAAATGTTTCTTTAAACTTGTAGAATCTTATATATTAATTTGACAGTATTTTTATTTTTCAATATTATAAGTTTAGTCCGTTTATTTGGACGATTGAATCTTATTTTGATGGTAGGAAGAAGGGAAAAAAACAGAGAATAATATTAGCAAAATCATGCTGGTCAAAAAAGGCATCATTTAAACAGAATTTACATCGACAATAAGAGACAAAATTTGAATAACATCCATATCGTATTTCAATGCTGTTAGATATTCTATCAATCATTTTACTATCATTAAATCATATCAAATCTGTCATGACTGCGCACCTGTAAAAATTAAAAACACAAAAACATTAATCATATAATATATTATCATAAAGATTTAAGAGTCCTTTAAACTTTAGTTGAAAATTTCAAACTGTAATGATGGTCGCATCTTCCAGTTCTCCATGTACTTTGGTGGTGGCAGACCATCATTCAGGTACTGCATGATTATCTTTCTTGGAATGATTGGGCTCTCCAGATGTTCCTCCACAGAGTCCACCTCAGGAGTAAGCTGCTGGTTGCTGTACTGGATAGTACAAGAAGCAGTGCCACTTGGAGGGGGCAGTTGACAGGCACTTACCTCCACAGAGAACTTACCACATGTCATGGGCATCAGGGTAAACTCATGTGACAGAGTAGAGTGAGGTTCAAGACTCTCAACACTGTGGTCTCTAGTCCCAATAAAGGGGATATCACACATCTTCTTGAAGGCAGATGATCCCTCATAAAATGCCCTTACAAACAACAGCAGTGAGCCCAGAGACTCATCTGAGACATTTGTCACCATGATGGATAGCGTTATGGGTGTTCCAATGGACACTTTGTGTGTTTTTTCTTCTCCAGGTCTGTCTAGCACGTTGCATGAAATGATCAGTTTCTCTTTTAAGGCATTTGTAAGGTCAGTATACTGAGTGACAGACTCGATAACATTTACTCTTCCTTGCCTATCACCAACTTTCCATGGGATATATTTAAAATCAGGATCCAGTAAGTCAGAGAACTTAACCCTATGATGACATGTTGGGGAGTTATCACAGCGAGTGACCCTGTCTAGAGCAACATCCTTAGCAAACAGTTCACCAGAATCTACAAAATGTGAAATTCCAGCAACGTTTAGTTCCATTCTTTGAGGACACATTGATGCTAAAGAGAGATGCATTTGGCATTTGCTGCTATCAGAGAGGTGCTGTGAAATGGAGTAACCAGCTAGCTGATACAGAAGATTTATTTGAGCTGTAAAAGTTGAATCAAGCTGTCGGAAATACTCTTTCTCCTTATCATAATATCTGAAGCTCAGAGAAAAGTTTTCCTCTACAAACACATTTTCAATTTTGGTATGTCTAGCACGTCTAACAATAGGTGCATCGTCTCCTTCATCAAACTCTGACGAGTTCTCATAGATGGTACCACGTTGGGTTCTCTCGGGTCTACTGTCAAAACACTCAGCTCTCCTTTCATGGCCTATTTTTGTGTTGATATTAATTTCAATATCAGCAAATGTACCCGGAAGAAGTGGAACTGAAACCTCACCATACTGAAAGACAATACCGGTCCTGGAACAGTTGTCGATAACATCAATATGCTGGATGGGAAAGCTGCTGATGTTAGCTACCCTGCAGGACAGCTTCCTCTCTTCCCCCTCGTACAGAGATAGTGTAGCTGGAATATCAGACTTCAAAACTAGTAGAGGCATTGGTTTTGATACTGATATAGTTTCTGCACATGTCACTTTAAAGTGAGAGGGAACACCACATAGTTGAAGTTTAATTCCAACCAGTTTTAGTGTACCTGGTTGACGAGGTTTGATTGTCAGAACTATATCAACTGTCTGCTTAGGGTATATTGTAATGGTGCCAGGGTAGCATTCCGCAATACCTCCCTCCACTATGCATCTTATGTCAAACAGTTGCAGAGAGTGCAGAAGTGGATTTTCCAGTTTCAGCAGAACTTCTCCAAATTCGTCACAAACCCAATTAACTAAGTTTTCTTCCTCTTTGCTCTTGCTAGCATTAGGATTGAATATGAATATACTGTTGGTTTGTTTGTTTAATCGAGGTTCCAAAGATTTCCCTAAAGACTTGATCACAATCTTCTTGCAAACAGGTATGTTTGGTGCTTCAATCATGTCTTGACCAAGCCTGGTGTTATTCTTGAAGATAAGGTTTAGAATACGGAGTTGATCGTCATGGTCCAGATGTGAGTAAAAGTTTTGCAACAAGCACATTCCATATTTAACAACACTGTCACTGTTGGCTAATTTGTCACTGGTTGAGATCAGATCATTGAGCACAAGCTTCTGTAGCTGAGGCCAACCATGCGCACTTTGATTACCAGGAACAACACCGTACCTCTCTATGACATTGCATAGTAAAGATGATGAAATTGTGTATGCTCTTGAAAGCATTTTTTCATGAATAGATTCAAGTGCAGCTCTTCGCAAGAAATAACTGTATTTTCTGTGCATCCCCATTTGCTCATACAAAAGAGCAATAGTACAGAAAAATTGCAGCTTCTCAACTGGGGTTAGATCGTCATAACAGTAAAATATTTCTGAATTAAGTATGACACATGCCTCCCTTTTACATTCTAAATCTATCATCAATCTGACAAACTTCAAAGTGCTTTCAAGCATTATCAAGGATGCTTCCCTTATCTTTTCCATGTGATTTATACCGGTCCTGAACAGCCCTTTAAGATTTTCTGTACTCTTCATTTCCGGTTCAGATGAGGCACTGTTCAAAGATTCCTGAGAAGAATGCAGTTTGCCACCTCCCATAGCAGTGGTAGACTCAGCCTCGTCTAATTGTAGCATCCTTGCAATCGCACAACACTGGCCTTCATATGCAGCACCAGTCCACAAGCTGTCCCCGATTGATAGCAAGTTTCTTGCAGCTTCTTCATAGCTCTCATTTGCTTTTTCAGGTTTTCCTATGATCAGAAACATATCTCCCAGATGTTTCTTGTGTCTTGCTTGTATCCTTTTACGGCCCATTTTACCCTCATCTAGTCCAGATTTGCTTCTTTCATAAGGACTGTATAACAGCTGAGGGTTATACTTT